TTTGCGGTACATGGGCCTCTCACTGTTGTGGCCTCTCCCGTTGCGGAGCACAGGCTCCGGATGCGCAGGCTCAGCAGCCATGGCTCACGGGCCCAGCCACTCCGTGGCATGTGGGATCCTCCTGGACTGGGGCACGAACCCGTGTCCCCTGCGTCGGCAGGTGGACTCTCAACCACTGCGCCACCAGGGAAGCCCCGCAGACAGATTCTTAACCACTGTGCCACCAGGGAAGCCCTGGATATGAATTAACAAGATTCATCTAATTGGCTCTGTGAAATCATGACAGTTTTTATTAATAAGGAGGGTGTTTGGAAGTTCAGACTTGACAACATTTATCACAATGCTTTAAATTTTGCCATTGTTGTCTTTCTCCCTCTCTCTACTACACAGGGGCTCGAAAGGTCAGAGTGTGGAGCCGGGAGTTTGCTTTACAGTCAACCAGTGAGCCTGTGGCAGGACTGGGACCTGCTCTGGCTTGGAAGTGAGTGGGAGAAGAAACCTTGTAACTTCTTGCCAGAGATTTCTTGGTACTAGGGTGGGAGTGGTGGTACCTACTGGATGTAGGTGTTTATAAAACACAAAGAGATAATTACTATTTCTCATTTGGCTGTAAGCCTGTATCTTTCTTTTTTAGTTCCCTGAAGTCTGAATGTGGTTTGAATAGTAGATTCTGAGCTTCACAGACCTCATCATTCCAAGGCCCACACATTTTGTAGGTTATAGGCGGGGCCTGCCTGAAGCCGCTGTGTAAAACAGAAAGTGGTGCTTCGAAGGGAAGTTGCAGTCTGTGAATTTCTGTGGGGCAGCAGAGCTTTGGTGAAAACGAGGGAAAGGGCTTCCTTTCTCTGCCCAAACTCCCACACTAAGGGGACCTGTTTGCTGAGGAACACGCGGGCTGGATTTGGGCCCGATTCACCTGTTGGCCTAGTACCCTTGTGCAGGTCACAACCTGCTTATGATATATGGCTGTCCTGATTATAGATAGAAGAAATATTTCCTGCCTCAGCATTGTTATAGGCAAAACCTAGGTCTCTAGGTTTTAGACATCTGTTTCCCACCAGTATTTGAGTGGCAGTTGGATGACAGAGAAAAGGGAGAAATGTATTTGAATTAAAACTCTAGAGACAAATACAAACAAGGTGGGGCGATCAAGGTGTTTTCAGTAGATTTAGAGGTCTTTAAAAATACCTACCTGAGCATGTAATATTGCTGAAGTCATATAATTGAAAGAGAAATAGTTTATGGTTTTATAGGACATTATACTGGGAATGGTTTAAATAATTTATTGGTTCTTTTAAAAAGTCACCCAAGTGCAGTCTCAATCTGTGAGTCTTTGTGGGCAAATAGAGCCCTTGTGCAAATCAGGAAAAGGCACTCTGTCCTCTGGGCAGATACAGTCCCACACTAGGGTGACTGCTTGCCAGGAAACATGGGATTTAAAACTTCCTTGTATGGAGGCTTTTTGTTTTTGCTGAAAAAAGTGTTTCTCTGAATTTCATCTTGTTCTTAGCCAGCTGGATGAGCTTTTGGATGCTCTTAACACTCTGGGTTTGCTTTAAGGCCCTCAGGCAGTTTGATTGCATCTACGCAAGATAAACCCAATCAGCAGGATGTTGTGTTTTTTGAGAAAAATGGACTTCTCCATGGACATTTTACACTTCCTTTCTTTAAAGATGAGGTTAAGGTAGGTGCCTGAGTTGTTTTACCATCAAATTTAGAGGACTTTGCACAGCTGTAGAGAAGAAGATTTGTATTTGATATGGGTATGTAAATAGAAGCCCCAGAGTAGACAGTAATAAAAATAGTGGCTTCCTATGACTGAATTTTTTTTTACAAACCAAATTGTTTTTCCTAAGGAGATTTTGTAGAGAAGAAATAGCATTCCTTCCTCACCCTAGATAAAACACAGAAAGGAAATAGAAACGCCAGTTTTTATTGTTTATTTTGACAAAAGCATAATTCTTCCAGTGATAAAGATACTTGCCATTTTTAACATGTAAACCTTAAGGAGGTTGTGTACCATTTGGATCTTCACTGGAGCGAAAACAAATCATGGTTAATTTTTAATTATGTAAAAATTTTAATATATTAAAAGTTGAGAGAAGAGTTTAATGAACTCCTATGTACCTATTACTTACTTTCAACAGATATGTACCAGCGTTCTGCAAAATTATTTTCATCTATTCTTCACTCTCTGCCCCGCCCCCTACACGCACACTTTGTAAAAATTTCCTAGGGTTTTAATTTTAAAAATCATATTTTCAATATTCATTTCTCTAACAGTTGAGAACATTTTTCTTAATACAACCACAATTCCATTATGATACCTTACAAAGTTAGTAATAATTCCTTAATATTATCTAATATCTAGTCCATATTCAAATATTCTTGATTGTCTAAAAATGTCACCTTCATTTGGTTAAGTATTTAAACATAATGCATTTTTTTGAAGTCCTCTACATATGATGACAGAGATTTTTTTAATAACTCCATAGGTTAGTAATTTACAGCTAGGGATCAACTCAAGTGTGGGATTATTTGACTTGTGAGAGCAGGGAATTCAGCTATCATAAAGATTTTGAGGTAAATACATAAAGGCCAGTGACAGGTCTTTTTTCCCTCCTAGGTTAATGACCTTCTCTGGAATGCAGATTCCACTGTGCTTGCAGTTTGGCTGGAAGACCTTCAGAGGGAAGAAAATTCCACTCTAAAAACCTATGGTAAGACAGCTCTAGTACCTCAGCCTCCTGCCCCATATAATGTAATTGAAAGTAGTAGGCCATGGAGTTTCCTTTATCCTTTTCACTTAGTCTTGTAATGGAAATCAGAGATAACTGAGGGGCGTAGGTAGAGATGAGGGAGTGGTTAGCTTTTGGTGGGATGGATTTCAGTTATGTATCAGGCAGGGTCTCTAGAGAAATAGAATCAGGGTAAGCTGGCTGGTTGGAAATTCAGTGAAGAGTTGATGTTGCAGTCTTGAGTCCAAAATCTGTGGGACAGGCCCACAGTCTGGAAACTCGGGCAAGATTCTCTGTTACGGTCTTGAAGCAAAATTCCGTTTTCCATGGGAGGCCTTAGTTTTTGCTCTTAGGCTCTATGAACTCTTTGGTTGAGATTTATCCACATTATGGAGGATAGTCTGCTGTACTTAAAGTCAGCTGATTATAAAGGTTAATGACATCCGCAGAATACCTTCTCAGCAACGTCTAGACTAGTGTTTGATCAAACAACTAGACACCATAGCCTAGCCAAGTTGACATGTAAATTATCACAAGTCATCAGTGCTTTCTCTTCATGGATGGTACCACTGTAGCAAATAAAAATGCTAGCCAAAGGAATACTGTGGAAGTGAAAGAGAAATGAGATTAGATATAAGTAAGAATCTTCTATAGCTTTTAAATTGCAAATCAAATTGTAAATATGTATTTTTCAGTGTATATTTAATATGTGAAAGCATTAGAAAATAAAGATGCGAAGAATAGTTCTTCCGTAATTCTGTCACTCAGTAATAATCACTATTTAAAGTTTCTTGTCTTCCAGATTTTATGTATACATCTCAGTAAAGCTATGATCTCATTTTTGTTAAATATGTAGGTATGATACCTGCAGTTTTGTAACTTGCTTTTACAGTGTGTCACAAACTTTCCATTTCAGATATCTATCTGTGTCATTTTAAATTGCTGTATATTCATTTATGCTACAGTTTATTAAATCTTAGTTGTTAGACATTTAAAGTTTTGTAATTTTTCACTGTCATCAATAGCAGTGCACTGAACATTTTTTTCATAAATCTTTTCATTTGCTTGATTATTTTCTGAGTGGCTTTCAAACTTTTTAATCAATAGAACTTTAACTGAAATGTTATTGAGAAGTTCATTCATTCATTTATTCATTCAACACAATAGTTCTCAACCCTGGCTGCAGCTTTAGGAAAAAAAAAAAAATGCTACCAATGTCTTATTTCAGAGCTGCTCTCAGTGTGTTAGAATGGGGACTATACATCAGTATTAAATTAAAAAAAAAAAGCTTCCAGGTGATTTTTTTTGTAAACACTGACATTTATTTACTTATTTTTAATTTTATTTATTTATTTATTTTTGGCTGTGTTGGGTCTTCGTTGCTGTGTGCGGACTGTCTCTAGTTGCGGCGAGTGGGGGCCACTCTTCCTTGTGCTGCGTGGGCTTTTCATTGCAGTAGCTTCTCTTGTTGTGGAGCACGGGCTCTAGGTGCACAGGCTTCAGTAGTTGTGGCGCATGGGCTTAGTTGTTCCGCGGCATGTGGGATCTTCCCAGACTAGGGCTCGAACCCATGTCCCCTGCATTGGCAGGCGGATTCTTAACCACTGTGCCACCAGGGAAATCCCCAGGTGATTTTTTAATGTGTAGCCAGAGTTGAGAACCACTGATTAACCAGGTGTTAACGGCTGGCCCTGTGATATGCTCAGGATAAAAGTGCAGCTGCAAGAACAGCCACAGTGTCTGTCCTCACAGAGCATAAGCATGTAGTCTAACTTAACCCAGAGGTAGGTTGAAGTATTGTAGTAGCCTCGTTTGAGAACTAGGTTGGATTTGCTGTGATTGCTGAGTTAAGAATTAGTGATGAGGGAGATGTTTAAAGAAAAGAAATTCCTTAATATAATTAAAATCTTCATTTATGTGTGTCATCTGTTTAACAGAGGTTGGCTTTGACATGATTAGGTCTTTTTTTCCAGCTTTATTGAGATATAATTGACATATAACGTGTACATTCAGGAGCTACAATGTGATGATTTGATGCATGCATGTACTGTGAAATGTTTGCCACAGTAAGGTTGATTAACTCATCCTTCACTTCGCATAATTACCATTTTTGTTGTATGGTGAGAACTTTCTTTTGGCTGCGTTGGGTCTTCATTGCTGCGTGCGGGCTTTCTCTAGTTGTGGTGAGCAGGGGCTACTCTTCGGTGCGGTGCGCGGACTTCTCATTGTGGTGGCTTCTCTTGTCACGGAGCACAGGCTCTAGAGCGCAGGCTCAGTAGTTGTGGCGCATGGGCTTAGTTGCTCCACTTGCCTCCATGCAAGCTTCAGTAGTTGTGGCACGCAGGCTCAGTAGTTGTGGCACATGGGCTCAGTAGTTGTGGCTCGTGGGCTCTAGAGCACAGGCTCAGTAGTTGTGGCGCACGGGCTTAGTTGCTCCGTGGCATGTGGGATCGTCCCAGACCAGGGCTCGAACCCGTGTCCCCTGCATTGGCAGGCGGATTCTTAACCACTGCACCACCAGGGAAGCCCGGTGGGAACATTTTAAATCTACTCTTGTGGCAACTTTCAAGTATACAATACAGTATTGTTAACTGTAGTCACCATGCTATACATTAGATCTCTGGAACGTGTGACTGAAGGATTTGTACTCTTTGACCAACTTCTTCCTATTTCCTGCGCACTACAGGTTTTGGTCTTGTTCTTTTACGGGTAATTGCATGCTAATCTCTCTTGGACATAACTGCATGCAAAACACCTGGAAGAAAATAATAAGCCTCTTAAGCGTAATACAACATAGTGATGCTAGTCTAGTGCTCTTGGATTGAGTGTTTTAATACTTTTAATCTAATTGCCAAATTTTCTTCTTTCTAAGTCTTTATGAAAAAAAACAACTCACTAAAGCACTGTCCTATGGTAGGAGCCTTCCATCATCATGATCATAAAGTTTGAAGGTAGAGGTAGAAATGAACACGTGTGCTTCTGACCTTATTGATGCTTAATATTTTATCCTCATGACAAACTATACTTTAACAATTATTGTTAATATTATTATCTTAATGAAGAGGCTGAGCAGAAAGGGTCATTTGAAAAAGAAAAGGATGTCCTCATCCCTCTCTAGCAAGCGGTACGAAGTCTGGTCCTCAGACCCCTGCCTCTGATGGCCTCCTTTTCCTTTTCCCCTGCAGTTCAGCTCTGGACTGTTGGAAACTATCACTGGTATCTCAAGCAAAGCCTGCCCTTCAGCACCTGTGGGAAGAGCAAGATTGTGTCTCTGATGTGGGACCCGGTGACCCCATACCGGCTGCATGTTCTCTGTCAAGGCTGGCATTACCTCTGCTATGACTGGCACTGGACGACTGACCGGAGCTCAGGAGAGAATTTAAGTGACATGGCAAATGTGGCTGTTGTTGATGGAAGTAAGGAGCTGGAAAGTGTGTCCTTGGGCCCGCAGGGGGCCTGAGCCAGGAGCCTGCAGATGTGGTAGTTTGACTGAAACAGTGCAGGATTTTTATTTGATTGATTATTCTGGTTGTTTGGTTTGTTTTTACTTGTTTTGGTTTCGATTGAATGGGAACGCCCTTAGGTGAGTCGTGTACTCCCCTGAGAACCATGGTCTCTCCTCTCCCCCTGCCTCCCTCAACTCCCTTTTCTACTACAACCATGGCCTTTACACATTTACTTGTCTGGGCTTTGAAGACATTGACGTTTCTGACCCTGGGTGGAGAGGAAGACAACAGTAGGCTTCTGGTGTTGGTGTGTCAGCCTTGTCTTTGTGCCCTGACATAGAGTTGCGTTGACCCTCACACCACTGCATTATGTTGCTTTATTTTTTGATATATATTTAATTTATATATATAATTTGCTTGCTAATTATATACCTTTCCAGTATCTTCAGTTCAAGTTACAGACATCTGCCTAGTACTCGGATTGGATTGGTGTTTTTTAATTAGGTTGAGGGTTTTTGTTTAGTGAGGGGAAAGAAACTAGGGAAAGTCAGTCTTTCCTGAATAGACAGTTTATTTATTGCTGATGACCTAAAGGAAAACTTGCTTCTAAGGTTGTAACGTGAGTTGATGTACTAATTTATGTTTTATGTAGTGATCATAGTACTGATTTTACAATCATATGTTCTATATAGAGGACTTAAGCACATATGCCTTATTACCAGATCCATGCACAGGGAAGTGCTTTAAGGATTTTGGTTTATTCTGGCTTGGTTGCAGGCCCAGGTTTAAAGCTAGAACTCTGACCTTTTGGCCTGCTTGCCCTAGTCCCTGGCACCTGAAACTCCAAGCCCTGAGATGGACTGCTATAGGCCTGGAGGTGACAATAGCCAGATTTAGAGCTCTGACACTTACTTCCCTCCTCTACACTGTATTTAAGCTTATTCATGATAAAAACACCAACAGTTACTTTTAAGAATCGCTGTATATTTTCTACCACCATTATTTTCTACCACCATTATTAATATTTTCCACCATGGAAAATCCCATGGGAAAGATGGAGATGCAGATGGTAGAGCAGAGTGCATTTGCTTACATCTGGTACTGTGCTGTTCAGATGCCTTGTTTTACGAATTGAACATCCATGTGTCTCATCCTCTTTCTCTCTCACGTGCAGACAGGGTATTGGTGACAGTCTTCCGGCAGGGTGTGGTTCCACCTCCCATGTGCACCTACCGACTGCTGCTCCCACACCCTGTAAATCAAATCATGTTCTCGGCACACCCTAAAAAGAGCAATGACCTCGCTGTCCTCGATGCCAGTAACCAGATTTCTGTTTATAAATGTGGTATGTTCAAAAACTGTTATCAGGATGTTCTGAATCAAATCTACACAAAAGCAAATTAGAGTTTGGTGTTGCATTAGCTCTAGGGCTTCCAAAAATTTTGAAGTTTATAATTAATATCATTCTTACTGTGATGTTTAATTGACTTGCAGGGTTTTTTCTGTGTTTGTGGGGGGTGTTTAATCCTACTCTGGCTAATAAGAACAATTCCTTTTGCTTTGTTGAATTTGAAGGGTTAGTTATTTAAGAATAATTCTCAACCCTAGAAAGAACGTAGTATCTCATTACATCCTTAACATTGCCATTGCACATATTTTCAGTTGATCTCACAGCTTTTTAGGAGCTGTGTCAGAGGTGGAGTTTTTCTGTTTTATAGATGAGGGAACAGCATGCCGGAGGGTTTGCAGTCTGCTTGAGCAAGAAAGGACAAGGACCTCTACTTAGGTGTTTTAGCGTCTAATCTAGTTGTCTTTCCACAGTCCCATTGCTGCCAGTTTCTAGTTGCTTTCCTGATACACTTGAAGAACCTGAAATTTGTGAATTCTATGGTTGTATCGTACGTTATACTGGCTCATGGCAGTGGTAGCCTTGTTTTCAAATAAGTTTTGAATTCTTAGCCTGAAAAGTAGGCAGAAATTTAATTTAAGAAAGAGGTTGAGATGTGGTTATTTTCTAGATTGCTTTATTTGTAAAGTGGATTACCTTCTAGAGCCCATTAAATGCAGAACCCCATATCCTTAGTATCAAGAAAAATGTTTGTAGTTTACTATGATAGTATTTGCATTTTTTTTTCCTAGGTGATAGTCCAAGCATAGACTCTACGGTGAAACTGGGAGCTGTGGGTGGAAATGGATTTAAAATTTCTCTTAGAACACCTCATCTGGACAAGAGCTACAAGTAGGTTGTTCTTAGTTGCCTTGGACCTCTGGGCACAGAAGCAGCCAGCATTTAGTCCTAAATTCAGCCAGCTGTTATTATCTTATCCTGTGCCTGTTGCTCAGTGGAACAAGAAGTAGATACAACACCTTGGTCCTGGTTTTACAGCCTGGTTGGAGAAGTCAGTTACCTATATATCTGAATATCAAAAATGCTGATGGGTGGCAATGGAGCATAAGTCTTAGGCTGACTTAGAAACCATTCCCCCAACATCCCTGGGGGGATTTTCAACAGGGAAAATCCCATGGGAAAGATGGAGATGCAGATGGTAGAGCAGAGTGCATTTGCTTACACAAATGAGGATATGTACATTGTTAATGTGCGGCTGACCTAATGCAGTCTCTAGTTTGTCTCATCCTACAATGCAGAACTTTTGGTTGCTGTGTTTTGAGGCTCTCATGTTGCAAATCAGAATGCATTTTCCTATTGAAACAGTACTACAAACAGTTGGATATAATTGAATACCTCAGGTGCACTATAGGCATTGTAAAATGACCCAGAAGCCAAATTATTAATTATAAGTCCATTTCTGTGAGAACCCAGAATTTGATTGTGTTCTATTTAATAAGCCCATGTTCTTAACTAACGCAGTACTTTGTCTCCTGGGCGCATTTATTTCTAAATTAATGGGAATAATGAGCAAATAACTGAATATAATAAAATGTTTCTTAAATGCCAATATATGCAGTATATTTAATGAATATATTTCCTACCTGTGTATGATTTGGGAGCTGTCTATATAATGCTTAGTAGTTTTTCAAAGAGCATGTACATGGATTATTTCATTTCACAGACTTGAAAGTTCAGAGGACAGATTTAAGGCAAACTAGAAAGCATGCGGAAATTGAGAATATAGTTTCATTTTTTAAAAAATTGTGAGAAGGATAGCTCTAAGTCATTTAGAGAAGATTTCATGAAGGGCATAAATAACTTACCTTGAACCTTGAAAAAGAGATAGGTTTAGGATTGCCAAAGGATTGAGAATGTTAAGTGTGGTGGACAGAAGAGTGTCAGTGAGAACCCGAGGCAGGAATGCTCCTGCGTGGGGCTGAATGCAGTGAAGAGACTGAGTCCAGGGAGAGCTGGTTGAGTAGGAAGATCAGACTAGTGACTCAGCTTCAGTGGGTGCTGAGGACCTGCTGCTTGAGCTGAAAGGCAGGAAGGAGCCATTGTGAGTTCCCGCGTGAAGTAGTAAAAACAGGCCCTCCTCCAGTGTCTGAATGCTACAGGAGGAAGGCATTAGCAGCAAAGAAGTCATCTCCCAAACAAATTAGTCATTTTGATACGAGATGCTTAGGATCCGTTCAGCTGAGACCTAAACATCTTCTGGAGCCTGGTTTGAATGCTGGTGAATGGTAACAACGGAAGACGGCTGGGGTTTATTGGTGTAGGGCCTGGGGCAGTCAGTTTTTCTTGTGTAGTCAGTTTCTTGAAATGTTCTCTTCAAATCTAAAGATCTCAGAGTATAAGATACTTAATTTTAAATACTAGAAAAATGTATTCTTAAGCGAGGCAAGCATTATTTTTGGTTTTGTCCCTCCAAATAATTAGGAGTTGACTATATATAAAATGGTTCATCCTTCATTCAGGAAAATCTCGGTGATGTTAAAGTTTTATTCATGTTTTGAAAATTCTTCGATGTTTAAAACAGAATTCAGTTTGAGAACAGTGAAGATGAAGAAGTAAACCCACTGAAGCTCGGCCTTCTCACCTGGGTTCAGGAAGACGTTTTCCTGGCTGTGAGCCACAGTCAGTCCAGCCCACAGTCTGTCATTCACCATCTGACTGTGGCCCCTTCTGCGATGGATGACGAGCAGGGACAGCTCAACATTAGGTATTCCAACAATTCGCTGTATTCCATGTGTTAATAAGCAGATAGAGTTAGGCTTCTTTTATGAGCATGGGACTTTTTTTTTTTTTTTACTTCCAGTGAGCAGGGTTGAGGGGCAGTGGCTTCCTTTTTAGACATACTTAGCAAGAGGGTTAAGTCTAGTTTTTAGTCATGTCAAAATATAGACTAAAATACATCAAGAAGTGGTGAAAAATAGCACAAATGCCAAGAGATGAGGCAAAACATTTTTAAGGTGTGTTAAAAATTTTCATTCACCTTATATTCCAGCAGAGTAATTATTAGCCTATGAGAATTAGCCACTCTAATTACCCTTGTTAGTTATTAAAATCGACTATGAGATCTATATATATGCACTTCATTTTGATTTAGTGACTTCAAAATACTTCTTCCAGCCTCCTATACATTTTGTTTGGCACTTGACTGCATTTATTACTAGAAAGCCTCTTCTGTTTTTCTTTGCTAAAATTTCATAGCTCCCTGGCCCTGAGTTTCATTTTGATTCCCGACTGCATCTTTGTCACGTAACAGGTTTCATTAATGAATGTTGTTTTCTGTATCGCAAGCCCGGTTGTGCACCAGATAGCGTTGTGTGGACAGCTCCGAGAAATCCTCAGGTTTCCAAAACTCGGCACCTTCGGCATACATTGATAGTAATCCCCAGATTCACATGTAATTAAAGTTCTGCTGGTTAGGTTTAAATTCTGAAAACCGTTGTTGCAAAATTAGGAACCTTTCTTTATTGTGTACATGAAGCATATTCCAAATGCAGTCATTAACTTCTAATCTTTGAATGCTACTGCTTCATATTTTTAAAAAAATATTTATTTATGATTTATTTTGGCTGCGCCAGGTCTTAGTTGTGGCACGCAGCATCTTTTTTAGTTGCGTCATGTGGGATCTAGTTCCCCAACCAGGGATCCAACCCGGGCTCCCTGCATTGGGAGCATGGAGTCTTAACCGTTGGCCCCCCAGGGAAGTCCCAGTAATGCTTCACATTTTTAAAGGTTTTGTGCATATGTCTGGATGCAGAATATGTTCTAGCTGCATGCAGACTTAACAGGGGCTTCCTTTGGAAAACAGAGCAATTTACATTAGAAATGCCTAAATTATGCATGTTTTTACTACTAAAAATTGGAAATTTTTTATCTTTATCTTGTAGAAGGTAAATGCGGTCATCTCATTTGCTATAAAGGAAGTGAGAAGTCATTTAAAATATATTTCTGCTGCTTTGACTTTTGTTTCTCAAAAAAGACTATTTTGTTCATACAAAATGTTAATGTCTTTGACAAATATATAGTCCCCCAATTAGCTTATACCTTACATTTACTATAGCTTGTGCTTTGTAAAAGGTACCCTTTTAAGTGCTTTTCCTATATTAACTCACTTATTTCTCACAACACCTCTCTGAAGTATGTACTGTTGGCGCCCTCATTTGACAGCTGAGGCAGCTGAGGCACAGAGCATTTTAAGTAACTTGCCTGAGATAACGCAGGTGGAGCCAGGATCCAGTCCCAGCCATTGCACCTCCAGAGTCTATTCCTTTAACTTCTCAGATAACTTATCCTCCCCAAATTTGTGGCATCTTGGGGGTTTTTGTAGATTTGTTTAAAACTCTTTGAATAAATGTTAGCATTGGCACCATTTGCTTTTATCATACCTCTTCCACTTCCTTTAAGACATGTCTACTCTTGGTTCATTGACTCAGGAAAAAATATAATGGCAATAACAGATTCCTCTCTTCCCATTAAGGGAGACCCACAGGTTTCTATGAATGAATATAATAGCAATATAGGTATTAAGCGTGCTTACTTTCCCACAGATTCACTGCTTTATTTAATGCAGTAAATTGAAATAAGTTGCAATAAGTTATATAAAGTTGCTGCCAGAATAGGAGTGATGACCTCACAATGTAGACACCTACTTACTGACATTGTGGAAAATGTCATGTGACAGGTAATTGCTTTACCTGGGCTTGCGCTTGCAATAGTTTATCTATTAGTGTGTATATACATATGTGTGTGCATTTATTATGTTTATGTTATATTGAAATAGGCAGTGCAGCACCAAAGGAAAATTGCTTCTTTTTCTGTTTTGCAAAATCAATGAAATGTCACTACTTTTGAGAAAAACAGTCTGTTCGCACCTCCTTCACTTCCTTTGTTTTTTATTTTACTCTTGTCAGTTCATCTGTGACAGTGGATGGGGTCATAATCAGTCTGTGTTGCAACTCCAAGACCAAGTCAGTAGCACTGCAGGTGGCTGGTGGTCAGATACTTAAGTACCTTTGGGGTGAGTATCAAAATGTTAGGAAAGCGGGGGCTTCCCTGGTGGCGCAGTGGTTGAGAGTCCGCCTGCCAATATAGGGGACGCGGGTACGTGCCCTGGTCCGGGAGGATCCCACATGCCGCAGAGCGGCTGGGCCCGTGAGCCATGGCCGCTGAGCCTGCGCGTCCGGAGCCTATGCTCCACGGTGGGAGGGGCCACAGCAGTGAGAGGCCCGCGTACCAAAAAAAAAAAAAAGGAAAGCATGTTTATGACTTACGTAGATATTTAATTCTTGAGTACATATACTTGTATCTTATCAGTGTTGCCGTGATTATTAGGTCTTTTAACTACCCTGAAAAACCCTAATCTATAGAGTAGAATTAGCTGGTGTGTTCTCCCTGTATTTTCTCTTGTAATGAACTGGAGTACTTTACTGAGTTTCCAAAACACATTTGGAAAGTGATTTAAATTGCATGTTAAGTATTTTAGCAAGTATTAATGTAACAGTTTTTTTTTTTACAAAGAGCGGATCAGCTCTTGGTAAACCTCATCTGCCAATCCTGCAGAATCACCCTCTCTGGCTGTTGAACCATGGAAGAACCCTGGTGGATTTCCTGTTCGATTTCCTTATCCGTGCACACAGACCGAACTGGCCATGGTTGGAGGAGAGGTAAGTAAACACAGGCAGAAAAACTTACCACTTAGAGCAGTGACCCAGGAACTGATAGCATTAAGTAGAAAGAGTGTGTACTTTGGAGGTGGACCTGAGTGTCCACTAAATCTCAAGGCGACAATGAGAAGTTTCCTGAGCCTCAGCCTCTCAATCTCTGAAATGGGATTAAGAGATTGCATGTAGTAGTTAGTTGATCCCTTTCCTTGGAAGTATAAATTCAAAAATAGAAAAATGCAATTGGCAGACTTTTATCCCCATTTGTACAAAACATTCAAAGTTAGTTTATACGTAACTTTTGGGGACAACAGAAATGTAATCTTGAAACTAGTATTCAGTAGGTTATCATTCATCAAATATTACAATGCCTATAATTGTGGCCGGTGGTAGATACAGTGGTTACAAAACCAAACAGCTGACTAGTTCCTGCCCTTCTGGAATTTTTAATCTATCAATACGGGTATGGCTGTCCCTTCTGATAGAATGAAGTAAATGAGCAGGGTGTAATGGTAGAGAATAGAGAAGTGTTTGAGGCTAGTTAGAGGATGGTAGCTGTGAGGATGGGGAGACCAACTTTTGGTGGTCTGGGAAAGCCTCTAGGAGGTGGTGGTGTATGTGCTGAGATGTGAAGAAAAAGAAAGCTCTATCTCTAAGAAAGGGAGAGTTCCAGGGAGGAGGAACTATCCATACTGTGAGCTTAGAAGAGCTCAGCTTACTCAAGGAACCTAACGGAAGCAATGGCTAGTCCTTAGTGATAGGCCATGGGAAGGAGTGTGGCTTTGCTTATTTAACATAGATTGAAAATTGATGATTGTAATCAGGGAGTAGTGTGATGTGCTTCATGGTTTGAAAGGTTATCCTGGCTGCCCAGTAGAGAGTAGGTTGAAAGGGAGGAGAGTGGAAGTGGCTGTGAGTGGAGGCAGTGACGGGCCAAAAGGTGATACGTTTGAGACATGCGTAGGAGATGGAAACAGCGGGGCTTGCTGATGCACTGGATGGCGTCATAGCACACTCTGCACTGGACCAACCACATCTTAGGCATCTTCAGTCCCCGCTACAAGGACCTAGATGTGAAATCATAGGGCAATGGAACCATGTAATAGAAAAGTCTGGTTTAACTAGTTTGGTTAGAATTGTTTGTAATTTCATATTTCATTTCTTTGCAGGAATGTGTCCTCGGTCTGACTGATAGATGTCGCTTTTTCATCAATGACACTGAGGTATCAAGGCTTGTTCTGATACTGGATCTTTTTCAGTCTTGGCTCCAAGTAATATAGCTAACTCTCCCCTTTGCCTCCCTGACCTTTTGTAGGTTGCTTCAAATATCACATCATTTGCAGTATATGATGAGTTTTTATTGTTGACAACTCATTCCCATACTTGCCAGTGTTTTTGCCTGAGAGATGCATCATTGAAAAGTAAGTTTTCAGTGTATAAAATAGAAAATAGTCCCTGTTCTAATAAGTTCTTAAGTCTTGATGACTTAAGATTGTTGCATACTTTGGCTTTTTATCATGGAGTCCTAGACTGGAGAAAACTTTTCAAGTTCATTTACTTAGCCCCTAATCTCAACATGATATCTCAGTTGAATCACTCCACATCAGTTAGCAAAGAGAAGGAGGTCCTTCCTTAAGCAGCACATCCTAAGGTAAACAAACAATTTTCAGGAAATTTTTTAATATAACTAATATTTTACTTTGAATTACCATGTAGGCACCAAACTGGCAATATGCTCAGTCTTCTTTGTAATCTTCCTTTTCTCACTGTGGCAACCCTCCATTGTATATCTGAAGGCTCCATCTCATGGCTCGTAGGAAATCGGCTGCATTTTTTTCTGTGTTCCACGTCCCCCCACCCAGCGTGTATGTGTGCGCATGCACACAATTTTCTTATGAAAAAAAAAAAAGCCCACTTATTTTCTTTGCTTCTATTGATAACTTGGAAACAGGGAATCTTTCACTGATACGATCGTAGCTTTATCAGTACACTAAGACAGAGAGAAGGTGCCCAGTCCTCCCTGTGTTTTCCATATCAGTTGAGATGTTGTGTATGGGCATGTGCATGAGGGCTCTGTGAGAGAGCACAAAATTCTGGGATAAGATTGTTTATCAGAGGGGCTAATGGTCTTGAGGCTGAGTAAGAGAGCAGTACGGCTTAGTTGTTAATTGCTTCCTTCTACTTTGGATAACATGCAGTTTCAGCTGCGGTTAGTGGAGAGTGGCTTGTCCTGACAGTGATTCTTAAGGCTTAGCCTATGGTGTCTTTAGCATTACAGGCAGGTCTGAGCAGCAGCCATGCGTCTAATGGGGAATCTCTGCGGAAGGTGGAGAGGGGTTCACGCATTGTCACTGTTGTGCCCCAGGACACAAAGCTTATATTACAGGTAAGCTGATTTTTCAGGCTATGTTTCTGATAGTCATTTGACAGTAAATACCAAACAGAATTCTTGTGGATTATATTTTAAGCTGTCTTATCATTTGTGTTAAGTTATTATAAGCCTTTCTTTGCTAAGTTCTCTGTTAGCTTTATACAAAGGAGTGTTAATACAGGTTCTGCCCCGTAAGGCTAAGAGGGAAACTTCTCTTAAAAGTCAAAATAAATTTTGAGCATAACTAAATTTTGCCAAAGATATGCTCATTTTACAGTGTTGTGTTAGTTCTCTAAGAGTTAGGTAAAATTGTATATCCTGGGTATTTAATTTTTTTCTATTTAGTTAAAAATGTTATTGATTTGATTTATTTATTTTAAGATGCCAAGGGGAAACTTAGAAGTTGTTCATCATCGAGCCCTGGTTTTAGCTCAAATTCGGAAGTGGTTGGACAAGTAAGTACCATGTATATGAGTAGTTAGCTTATTGTTATGACTTATGTGTGAAGACAGCAAGTATTTCGTTAAGATTTTTAAAACTTAAAAGTCTTTAAATCTTTCATTACATATATCTTCAATCAGGTTCTCAGAGGCTCTCTTTTTTTCACACTTTGATTCTTATATCGTATGGTGTAATAAACATTCCTAGCAGAAGGAATCATGAGGCTCATTGTACGAAACAGGGCTTCCTAGCCTAAGGGGAACGATATAGGCTTTAGATGGCCTATGAACCTGGGGAATTTTTGCACCATCCTGTGTCTATGTGTATTTCTCTTGGTAGAAGGCCCAAGGCTTTCAGCAGACTTATAAAAAGGCCTGTGACCCAAAAATGCCTGAGCCACTGTTGTGAAGGAAATGATCCATTGTTTGAATCTCTGAATTTGGGGGAAACTTTATATTGGAAAGATGTTTACTAACATTTTATTAAAAAAGAAAGTAGCTCTAAGTTCCATAATGATTTTCTTGTGTGCGTGTGTGTGGATATAGTCCTCAACCGGCCATGATGACTAAATCACACCTTTTAGGATGGTAAATGAATCTGGTCCCTGATTTTTTTCATTCTATGATTTCAGAGTAGAATTCCAGTAGTAGTTGGGCTATAGTCTTAATTTTAACTGGTTTATATCATTATGAAAATATGCTGAGTCCAGGGAGCTTACTTTTTGTGAAATGCCCTCTCTGTCCATTTTCTGTCTCTTCACAGACTAATGTTTAAAGAAGCATTTGAATGCATGAGAAAACTGAGAATTAATCTCAATCTGATTCATGATCATAACCCTAAGGTAACATTCTAAATCTGATATTTATCATAGCTTACCTTAGACTTGAACTAAGATGATCTGAACTAAAATGTTTTACCTTTTTTTATTCTTTTCTTGGGTAGGTGTTTCTTGAAAATGTGGAAACCTTCATAAGACAGATAGATTCTGTAAATCATATTAATCTGTTTTTCACAGAATTGAAGTAAGTATTTTGAATAATTCATGAGTATCACGTGCATAATTTTCTCTCTTCTGGTTAAGGAAATCAGACAGATAAATAGAGGAGAAAAATTACTTTTCAATATAATTTTTTTAATCTCTAACTCTTAGATGCCACATGTACTGGATTTTCAATCTTTTCCCTTTTTAAAACTAAGACTTTAAAAGATGTCATTTAGAATTATTATTTGACTTTAATTTTAGGTGTACATAAAAAACTATTAATTGAAATAAATGGTGTCTTTTTCTGCAATGACTTTTTTCTAACTTTCTATTTTTATTTTTTTCTAACTTTTCAATGAAAAATTTTAAACATATAGAAAAGTTGAGAAAATTGTCCAGTGAGCATCCTGTACCAACACCTAGATTCTACAGTTCATATTTTCCTGTATTTGCTTTATCACTATTTCCCATGTGTCCATCCACCATTCTTTTTTTTTTTCCTAATGCACTTTTTAAAAAAATTAATTTATTTTTGCCTGCATTGGGTCTTCGTTGCTGCGTGTGGGCTTTCTCTAGTTGTGGTGAGCGGGGGCTACTCTTCGTTGTGGTGCACAGGCTTCTCATTGCGGTGGCTTCTCGTTGCAGAGCACAGGCTCTAGGCACGCAGGCTTCAGTAGTTGTGGCATGTGGGCTCAGTAGTTGTGGCTCACGGGCTAGAGAGCGCAGGCTCAGTAGTTGTGGCGCACGGGCTTAGTTGCTCCGTGGCATGTGGGATCTTCCCAGACCAGGGCTCAAACCTGTGTCCCCTGCATTAGCAGGCGGACTCTTAACCACTGCGCCACCAGGGAAGTCCCCACCCTTCATCTTTACTTTAGACAAATTTCGAGGTAATTACAGGCATCAGTCCACTTTACCTGTCAGTACTTCACCTTGCATAACATTAACTAGAGCATATTCTTTGTGTACGGGGTCCCCCCGCATGTCAAATTTATATATAATGAAATGCACAGATTATAAGCGTACCATTCACTGAGTTTTGACAAAGGTATACTTCCATGTAATCTTGACCCCTATCAAGATAGAGAACATTTCCTTCATCTCAGAAAGTTCCCCCAAATCCCTTCTCATTTATTCTTTGTCTGCACCCTCTTGGCAACTGCTTTTTTGAGTTTTTCACTGTAGAGCAGTTTTGCCTGTTCAAGAACTTTATATAAGTGAATCATATAGTATACTGTCTTGAGATTCATCCATGTTTTTGCGTGTATCACTAGTTTATTCCTTTTTATTGCTGAGTAGTATGCCATAGTGTAAACATACTGCGGTTTATTTCTTCATTCTCCTGTGGGTGGACAGCTGGACTGTACCCAGTTTGGGGCTATATGAATGTAACATCTGTAAACATTAACATACAAGTCTTCTGTGGACATGTTTCCATCTTCTCAGCAAGTTTTTCCATTTTTCACCATATATGAATATTTTTAAAATTAAACTGTCTTCCAAAAGCCATTTTTTATTTATTATCTCATCGGCACTCCAACATATATGTTAGTAGTTTGATAGCTGGGACATATGTTCAGTTAGTGACCTTGTAATACACACTTGTTCTCAGGGAAGAAGATGTTACAAAAACCATGTACCCTCCACCAGTTACCAGCACTGTCCAGCTGTCCAGCAATCCTGATGGGAAAAAAGTAGACCTTATCTGCGATGCTATGAGAGCAGCCATGGAGAACATAAATCCTCACAAGTACGTGTGCTGTCGTTAGTTGGCATCTTTTGAGTAACAGAAGTGTGTAGTTGTTTCTCTTCAGCTTGCTCATCTTTCTTATTCTGGTGTACTTCACTTACTACTTCAGGTACTGCCTATCAATACTCACCTCTCACGTGAAAAAAACCACCCCAGAACTGGAAATTGTGCTGCAGAAGGTACACGAGCTTCAAGGTAGAGACATGCTGACAGAGTGTGTGTATCGGGGCCTCGACTGACATCGGGTCTTTGGTCTTCTGGAGATCGCACTGACAGGACCAGGGTCACATCACTGATTTGGCGTGTGGCTTTTTCATCTCCATTTTAAAACCTGGGTCCATTTCTTTGAATGCTGCCCTATAAAGCTTGTACAAGAGTCAGGGCTTCCCTGGTGGTGCAGTGGTGGAGAGTCCACCTGCCGGTGCAGGGGACGCAGGTTCGTGCCCCGGTCTGGGAAGATCCCACATGCTGTGGAGCGGCTGGGCCCGTGAGCCATGGCTGCTGAGCCTGCGCATCTGGAGCCTGTGCTCCGCAACGGGAGAGGCCACAACAGTGAGAGGCCCGCGTACCAAAAAAAAAAAAAAAAAAAAAAAAAAAAGAGTCAAAAGAATATATTCATCTGGTGTCCAGTTCTGCCAGGAAAACGTATTACTTTGTCTTTTTGGTTATGTTGCTAGGTGTGTGGGTTTTTTCCCAAAATGGTTTTGTTCTGTTTTGTTTTCTTACACACTGATAGGAAGTGCTGCACCTGTTCCTGATGCTGTGAGTGCTGAAGAGGCCCTGAAGTATTTGCTGCTTCTTGTAGATGTTAATGAATTATATGATCATTCTCTTGGGACCTATAACTTTGATTTGGTCCTCATGGTAGCTGAGAAGTCACAGAAGGTATGTGGAGTTACTACTTAGACATACTTCTCATTTTTGTTTATGTGAACATGGTAGTATGAAACAGTGCTCCTGACACTGCAGTGTTTGGTCTGATGTTAAGGCTGTGAGGACAGGCCTCGAGGCAGAACTGTTAGTCTCCAGGACCCATACTTCCAAGCTCATTCTCTGTTGCTGTTCTGGGCTTACCAAAGTGTTTTGATTGCTAGGTTGAGCAATCGAAATAAAATTACTGGGTTATTTTTAAGCTTATAGGCATTAAGTGTGAACAAATTCTTCTCTTATAAAGGAAATATAACAAATGATTCATATTCCAGTCGAGTTCTATCATGTAGCTTCTTTTACCAGTGCAAATTGGGAACCTGGACAATATGCCCATATGTTAAGGCATTTTTACCAAAAGTGGTTTTATGTAGTTTGGTTTTATATATAATTAATATATGAATACACTACATATTTTAAAAATGATGTAGCTTTCGTTTCATGCTATAATTATTATATGTTTATTTTTATAAGTAATATAATCACGAGCAATAAAATTGTCCTTTAAAAAAATTTTTTTTTAATTTTTAGGATCCCAAAGAATACCTTCCATTTCTAAATACACTTAAGAAAATGGAAATGAATTATCAGCGGTTCACTATAGACAAATATTTGAAACGGTATGAAAAAGCCATTGGCCACCTCAGCAAATGTGGTAAGTGTGAGGGTTAGTATGTTTATTTCTGCTTCAAATATTCTTTGGAACTAGGGAGGGTATAAATTGCAATCAAATGTTAGTTTAGACAGACAGATTTCAATTTCCACACCTCAAAATGTTAACAATTACGTATGCGCACCTTATTTTTATCATATGTTTTGAAAAGCTGAGGGTAAAGCAAATGTCTTTGAATGAACGGGAGGAGCTCCATAGCTAAGATAGAGCAGATGCTTCTGAGTCAAGAGTGATCATCCTCGAAATTCACTTCAGTGTCTTAAAATCAAAATTGGTTGATAATTCACTCTTCTCGTGGTGTTTGCAGACACCTGAAGGAAACCCAGCTTGTCTGAGTGGCCGTGCCTACTGGCAGTGCCCTGACACAGTTTTGATTGGCAGTGATGTGGAGTCGAAGCAGCACGATGCCGGGTGTTGTGCTTCACCCCATCCCTGACCAGTACTGGAGCCTCACGCTTCAGCAGTTATGACTCTTTCCTAAGGGCTGAGACGGGACAAGGAAGAGGCACCTGGGGTGCTTGTTAAGCATTCAGCTTCTGGCTTCCTTGGAGGATCTGGTTCAGCTGGGCTGGGACGGGACTCAGGCGTGTGTATGGTTAATAAGCTCCCCAGGTGATTCTTACTAAGGAGGCTGAGCAAACACTGGGCTGGATGGTCATTCATCAGAGGTAGTGTAAAATTCCTTTTAAGTAGAACGCTCATTCCAATTGGTACTTCTCATACCTCAGAATCTGCAGTGGTGCTCATTAAAGCTCACACTCCTGCATTCCCGTTCTCCAGATACTGTAATTATGCAGGTCTTAAAAAGGTCCCTTGTTGATTTTATGTAGGGACCATTGGTAGAAATGAAATCCATTATGCTTCCCAAGTCTCAAGCTTGTGTGTGTATGAATCTTATTCCTGTAGGACCGGAGTACTTCCCAGAATGCTTAAACTTAATAAAAGATAAAAACTTGTATAACGAAGCTCTGAAGTTATATCCACCAAACTCGCAGCAGTACAAGGTGTGTAGCATGTGAAATGAGGCTCTCCTGATTTTGCTTTGTGCTTTAGTTGGAGAAGGATGAGGCTCCTGAGTCCCTGACACTGTCCTTGGTTTCAAGATTTATCTTCAAACTAATTAGCCTCATCTTGAACTTCTTATCTGGGAGAAAGGCCCTGACCTGTACCTCTTCTGAAGAACTTGCCCAGGCAAGAAACCTAGCCGTTTTGTCTGGATCCTCCTCGGGAATACCATGGCAGTTTCCATCCTGCCCCTCCTCCAGCCCAAACTCACGATCTTCCTGAATAGTGCTGATCTTTCCCATGTAGTTCTACATAAAGTTTGGTTCGCTTGTTTGAACAAACACCTGTTTAACTTTTCTCATATGCAGATACTTTGCTTATCAGCTAAATGTATTATAATTCTTACAACAACCTGGTAGGTGTTGTGCACAATTTTCAAATGAGGAACCACCTTGCCTCAGGACCTGGGACATGAGGTGGCCGACCTGGGATATGGAGCCCGTGCTATCATCACCACCATTTTCAGTTTGTCCACAAATTGCACACGTCTTTCTGTCATCTGGCCCCTGCCTGCTTCTTTATCGTCAGCTGCCTCTGGCAGCCCTCTTCCTCCACTTCCTTCAGCCCCCCTGTCCTTCTAAACTCTCGGGTCTCCTCTGCCAGAAAGCCGTTCCTGGCTGAGGTGCCAAACACTGAGCTCCCAGAGCACCCTGTTCTAAACTTGGGAAGGGCATTTATCAATCTGCTATCTACTGATTTGTTGCCCCACCAGGCTGTGGGTTTCCTTAAGGGCAGGGACCCCGTGTTATGTCCCTCTGTTTCCCTGCCTCATACTGAGCCTGGGGAATAGAGAATTTGGCCAAAGCCTGCCTCTTTGCTCTCATTTGCCTTATCTGTTCGTCTCCTGTGCCCTCTGTGCTTCAGTCATACCAGCCTTTTTGTTATTCTTTCCTGTGCATTCCATACCCATTCCTGCCCGATGGCCATGGTGCTTTCTGTGCTCTTGGCGCGGAGTACTGTCCCGTAACTCTTCACGTGGCTTCTAATCCTCACAGCCCTCTGAAACAGCACTCCCATCGCTCTGGCCCTTTACCACTGTCTGCCATTAGCTGTCGACCACAGTGTGTTTATAAGTTCGTACTCTTTCACCACAAGAGCAGGAAGTTGGGAGTGGTTCTTGTTACTGTTTATTTTTTCTGTTTGTTTGTTTTTGCTTTGTTTGGCTTTATTTTTTGCTTTGCTGTGTTACTGCCCTGAATAGTACTCAGTAATTTTTTGTTGGATGAATACATGGCACATCCTCAGTAAGGTTTTGAGTGGAAGAAAGATTGAATTCACTGGTCATCCACAGGGTTTTTCTAAGTCATTCCAGGGAGTTTCAAGTATAATGACCGAGGCAGCCTACCTTGGAGATTTAAAAAAACAGTTATCACCTGTCCTCACCAACCCTTTGTCTCCTCCTGTCCCAGGACATCAGCATTGCTTACGGGGAACACCTGCTGCAGGAGCACCTCTGTGAGCCAGCAGGGCTCGTGTTTGCCCGCTGTGGTGCCTACGAGAAAGCTCTCAGTGCCTTTGTGGCTTGTGGCAGTTGGCAGCAAGCTCTCTGTGTGGCAGCCCAGCTTCACTTGACCAAAGACCAGCTGGCTGGCCTGGGCAGAACTCTGGCAGGTAAACACACCATTAGGTTCTCGTAGATAACCTCTAATGGCTTTGTGTCTCTGTGGTTTTGTTTGGCAGTTTTGCAGACGTGTGCCAGGTGGGAGCACACCTTGGTGCATTGTCATGTGCATGGGTAAAGGTTAATTTGGAGTGGCTTATTAGGTAGAGTAAAAATTAAACTGCTACGAGAGTTCCCCAAATACAATGGCACAATAAAGAAAGCAGTTTACTTGTCTCTCTCATGGCACTGACAAGTCCTCCCATGGTGCGGATCTGCCATCTCTTAGGCAGAGTTGAAGGTGGATTTTCTCCACATCTGTATTCCAGTCCTCAGGAAGGGGAAAAGCTGGAATCGTGAGAGAACACTCAAAGTTGGAAATGATCTAGCTAACACTTTTCTCTACCTCATTCACCAAACTCACACTTTACAGGACACCGGGTACAGTGTAGCTGGGTAGCAATGTGCCCTGCGAGAATGTAAAGAAGAATTTCCGAGTGGGACTGTTCAAATATAGCCAATAGATCATTGGAAACCATAATAGCAATTTTCAGAAATGAAGCCAAATGTATAAGCAGAGTGAAAGCAAAGGCAGTTTAGCTGTGTCAGGATCTAGGGATTGCCTGAACTGGCGGTGAGGTTATTCCACAGTCTGATTTCTTAGACTGGAGTGGCATTCCCAGAGTGCCTGGGCGAAGAGACGGGTGCGGCTCTGGCCCTCTCAGCCATGGTTGAAGTGGGTGAGTGGCTGGTATATTTTCCTCCTACCTTTTCAAGAGTCTTGTAAATATTGTTATGATCTCCCCATAAAAAGCAGTCCTGAAAAAAAATCCAAACTATATCCTGTTAAATGTACGTACATATTCTCTTGAGTAATTTCACATTGTTTTTTTTTCCTTTGGGATTATAAAAATGTGTGAGATTATCACTTTTCTCTTTCTGGCATTTTCTGGTTATTAGATCTGTGGACTCTTCTATAAGCCCTTTCAATTTCCAAGCTGAACTCTTTTTATAAGTACTGAGAAATCCTTATTTGAGTCTTATTAACTATTCATTCTGGCTCCGTTGATACTTCTGTTCTAGAAACTTGTTATTTGTAGTTTAAATTTTCTAGTTCTGTTCTTGGTGTCTGTTATCTTCTCTTACATTCTTTTCAACTCTTAGCTTGCTGTGTGTCATGCCTTATAATGGAGTGCACCTAGTTCTCCCAGATGCTTAGCAGAAAAAGGTGGAGAAGACAGTGCTCAAAGATTTTTGAGAAATGTTACAAGGTGGAGTCACTTCATGTGTACATTTAACTTAGTTTACACAAGTCACCAAAAGAAAGAAAAGATAGCTTTTGAAACAGTGGAGATGACTCTTCCTGGTTTTGTCAGTGATAATATGCCCTGGAGTTAGCATGAAATGGGAGATGTGACTCTGCCAGCCCCTTACTTAACTCTGGGTTCTGTGTGCCTCTCATAGTGTAATTATCTCAACTGGGCTGAGAATGAGTCTCAGATCTGAAGATACTGCAAGACCCCTGACATAAGCCAACTACCCCCATCTAGTGCACAACCAAAGAAATAGCAGCCTCTTCCTATTAGAGGAAAAAATGGATTAGTGCGAGATGCTAGGTCAGTTTCCCATATGTGTGCCTTTGTAAGCATTTTTCATGACTGATTTTGACTGTATGTGATTTTCACATCCCATGCTAAATTTTGATTGTAACTGCCATTTAAGATAGGACCCCATGGTATTCCTGCCTCTCTCATAGAAATTCACAAATTATATAGTTTGATACACAATAAAGACATATTAATGAAGCATTTCAGCAAAAGAATGCTTAACTCTATCTTACCCAGTGCTTCACAAACGTACTTGACCTGAGAATGGTTTCTTGGTCCTGCCTTTTATGATTCTTCGAGCAGTCTTGGGGAACACTTGAAAATGCTATTTTAAAGCAGTTCACTTTGAATGTATACTCTGTAGAGCTCAATCTCCAATTTGTAGGAGACCATTTTGATTTAAATAGTACCACCTAAAACCGTTTCAACTTGAGTTTTGGGAATACCGTTCTTAGTAAGCCGACTGTGCTCAGATGCTTATTGTCTTTGCAGGAAAGCTAGCTGAGCAGAGGAAGCACGGTGACGCAGCCACAGTTTTGGAACAGTACGCCCAGGTAAACTCAGTGACGCCCATCCACACCCCCACCCCCAATCAACAAGCAAGGGCTTCCCAGTTGTACCTTAGTGATCATGAAAATTAAAGGAACTGTGGGTATTTAGGAAATGCAGAGATAGTATTTCCCCTGAGGGTCTCCCATCTTGCTGGCTTGACTTGGTAATCTAAATTCAGTATATCTCTAAGTAATTACACTTGCTGTGACAAAGAACTCTATTATAATATGCACTAGTGGCTTGACCTTGGTAGAAAGTATAAATTAAATCTGAAGGGAGTTATACCTTTTGTATTAACTTGCCAAAGTAGAAACAATGAGAAAAGACGGTTCTCAACCAAAGGGATGGAGCGTTACACCCTTTTTTGGCTTTCACTCCCGTTCTTTCTGTTGGAAATGTCTCTTCTACCTCGGGCAGCTTGATGGGTTCCAATTTCCCACCAGATTATAAAGATAAGTACCTACACCAGCTTTTGATAGAATTCTAGGATTTATTATGAAAATAATAAAGCCTATGCACTGTCACAGACTTAACAGGACACAGGTACACAATTAATACCAGAGATTCCTGCCTCTAGGGTTTTGGCCTTTGATGAGAAAGTGTTACAGTTGTCACTAGTGGGCACATCTGCATAACAAAATTGTGCTTTTAAAATACTTCATTGTCTTTCATGCAATAAGAGTGAGTGAAACAAGGTAACTGTGATATCATTAGATCCTGGAAAGAAAATATGTTGGGTGATTGAGCTGAAAACATGAAGATATATCCCACCTAAGATGGTTAATTAAATGGATAAGATGCCTGCTTTTGATTTCTAACATTTCTTTTTGACTTTCTTAGAATTTCCAACTCTCTGCTTACATGACCCATCTGTTCTTGCACGTTGTTTTTTCCATTAGAGGTGTTATCATATTTATTGCACTGATCTTAAGTTCCCAGCCTCACAATCTCAACATCCCTGCCGTATCAGAGTCGTGTTCTGATGCTTGCTTTGACTCTTCAGACTGGTTTTTAATCCCTTTTGTATGCCTTGTAATTTTCTGTCAAAAGCCTAATGTGTGTGATATACTGGGTTAAAGCAAATCTGATAAATAGGTCTTTAATGATATGGTGATGAGGCTGGGGGTTGGGTAGGAGAAGTGTTCTGTAGTCCTTTGATTAGCTGGCAGTCTTTAAGTGAGCATGTACCTCATCTGTGAACTTCACCAGTGCTTCTCAGTTTTTTTTCACTCCTTAGGTAGGACAGGAAGGTTAGAGGGGGCTGGAGTTGGGTATTTCCCTGCCTCCACATTGGTTAGGCCCTGGTGAAACCCACTTCGATTAGGCTCTGCCAAAATCACTTGAGTGCAGGTCTTGTTAAGAAGATCAGTATTTTCAAATGTCTGCTTTTCCCTTCCCCCTGCTAGAAGTACATAGTCACCCTGAAAAGTTCTGGTAGGGCTCCTGGAGGTAAAAACTCACAAAAGTGTAGGAATTTCCGTAAGTATGGACCCCTGTAGAGTTTTTAACTCTTGGCCTTGTCTACAGTGAGTGATATTAGCTGGAGAAATTCAGTCTTTCACCCTAAGTGTGATGTTTGCTAGCTTTTTTGGGAGTTTAATAGGTGTGAGAAACTGGGAGGGATGTTGTTGGAGTTGGCAAACTATAGCCTGTGGGCCAAATCTCGTTGGCCACCTGTTTTGTAAATAAAGTTTTATTGGAACATAGCCCCACCATTTGTTTACCCATTGTCTGTGGCTGCTTTTGCACTTAAAACCACAGAGTTGAAGAGTTGTGACAGAGACAGTCTGGATGAAAGTCCCAGAAAGCCTAAAATATTAACTCTCTAGCCTTTTACAGAAAAAATTTGCCAATCCTAGCCCACTTGTGTTGAGGAAATTCCCTTTTATTCCTGGTTCTGAGAGTTTTTATCATGAACGGGTATTGAAGTTTGCTGATTGCCTCTTAAGCTAAGATGTTTTCTGTTTTGTTTTTAGACCAGTGATAGGGTGAATTGTATTTATGTTTTTTCTTTTTTTTAATTGAAGGATAATAGTTTATTTACAATGTTGTGTTAATTTCTGCTATACAGCAAAGTGATTTGGCTGTACATATATATATACATTCGTTTTTATATATTATTTTCCATTATGGTTTATCATAGGATACTGACTATATACTTCTCTGTGCTATACAGTAGGACCTTGTTGTTTATCCATTCTATATATAATAGCTTACATCTGCTCACCCCAACCTCCCACTCCATCCCTCCCCCACCCTCTTCCCCCTTGGAAACAAGTCTGTTCTCTATGAGCGTGAATCTGTTTCTGTCTCGTACATAGGTTCATTTGTGTCATATTTTAGACTCCACATATAAGTGACATCAATGTGGTATTTGTCTTTCTGACTTTCTTCACTTAGTATGATAATCTCTTGTTGCTGCAAATACCATTGTTCTTTTATATGGCTGAGTAGCATTCCATTGTATATATGTACCACATCTTCTTTATCCATTCATCAGTTGATGGACATTAAGACTGTTTCCATGTCCTGGCTATTGTGAATAGTGCTGCTATGAACATAGGGTACATGTATCTTTTTGGATTACAGTTTTGTCTGGATATATGCCCAGGAGTGGGATTGCTGGCTCATATGGTAATTCTATTTTTAGTTTTCTGAGGAACCTCCATACTGTTTTCCATAGCAGCCACACCAACTTACATTCCCACTAGTGGTGTAGGAGGGTTCCCTTTCCTCTACATACTCTCCAACATTTGTTATTTTATAGAGTTTTAACGATGGCCATTCTGACCTGTGTGAGGTGGTACCTCATTGTAGTTTTGATTTGCGTTTCTCTAATAATGATGTTGAGCATCTTTCCATGTGCCTTTTGGCCATCCTTATGTATTCTTTAGAGAAATGTCTATTTATGTTTTCTGCCCATCTTTTGATTGGGTTGTTTGTTTTTTTGTTGTTGAGTTAGTATGCGCTGTTTGTATATTTTGGAAATTAAGCCCTTGTCCGTCACATCATTTGCAAATATTTTCTGCCATTCCATAGGTTGTTTTTTTGTTTTGTTTATGGTTTCCTTTGCTGTGCAAAAGCTTGTAAGTTTGACAAGGTCCCATTTGTTTATTTTTGTTTTTATTTCCATTGCCTTGAAAGACTGACCTAAGAAAACATTGGTACGATTTATGTCAGAGAATGTTTTGCCTGTGATCTCTTCTAGGAGTTTTTTTATGTCATGTCTTATGTTTAAGTCTTTAAACAATTTTGAGGTTATTTTGTGTAGGGTGTGCTTCAACTTCATCAGTTTACATGTAGCTGTCCAACTTTTCCAACAGCACTTGCTAAAGAGACTGTCTTTTTCACATTATATATTTTTGACTTTTTTATCCAAGATTAATTGACAGTAGTTGTGTGTATTTATTTCTGGGCTATCTATTCTGTTCCATTGATCCATTTGTCTGTTTTTGTGCCAATACCATGCTGGTTTGATTTCTGTAGCTCTGTAGTATGTCTGAAGTCTGGGAAGGTTATGCCTCCTGCCTTGTTCTTTTTCCTCAGGATTGCTTTGGCAATTCTGGGTCTTTTGTGGTTCCATATAAATTTTACAATTATTTGTCCTAGTTCTGTGAAAGATGTCATGGGTCATTTGATAGGGATTGCATTAAATCTGTAGATTGCCTTCAGTAGTATGGCCATTTTAACAATATTAATTCTTTGAATCCAAGAGCATAGGATTTCTTTCCATATCTTTGAGTCATCTTCAGTTATCTTAATGTTTTATAGTTTTTAGTATATAAGTCTTTCACCTCCTTGGTCAGGTTTATTCCGAAGTATTTTATTTGGAGGGCTGTGATTTTGAAAGGTATTGTTATTGTACATTCCCTTTCTGATATTTTATTGTTAGTATAAAGAAATGTAGCTGATTTCTGTATGTTAATCTTGTATCCTGCTACCTTGCTGAATTTGTTTATCAGTTCTAGTAGTTTTTGTGGGGTGTATTTAGGGTTTTCTATGTATAGGATCATGTTATCTGCATATAATGACAATTTTACCTCTTCCCTTCCAATCTGGATACCTTTTATTTCTTTTTGTCTGATTGCTGTGGTCAGGCCTTTCAATACTATGGTGCATAGAAATGGTGTGAGTGGGCTTCCTTGTCTAGTTCCAGATTTTAGCAGGAAGCCTTTCAGCTTTTCACCATTGAGTATTATATTGCTTGTGGGTTTCTCATAAATAGCTTTATTATGTTGAGATATGTTCCCTCTATACCCACTTTGGAAAGGGGTTTTAACATAAATGGATGTTGAATTTTGTCAAATGCTTTTCTGCATCTATTGAGATGGTCATGTGGTTTTTGTCTTGCCTTTTGTTGATGTGGTGTATCACATTGATTGACTTGCGTACATTGAACCATCCATGGGAACTTGGGATGAATCTCACTTGGTCATGGTGTATGATCTTTTTTATGTGTTGTTGGATTCAGTTTGCTAACACTTTGTTGAGAATTTCTGCCTCTGTATTCATCAAAGATATTGGCCTGAAATTTTCTTTTTTGGTGGTGTCTTTGTCCAGTTTTGGTATCAGGATGATGGCAGCTTCATAGAATGTCTTTGAGAGTGTTCCCCACTCTTCAGTTTTTTGGAGGAGTTTGAGAAGGATCGGTATAATTTCTTCTTTTTACGTTTGGTAGAATTCACCTGTGAAGCCATCTGGTCCTGGACTTTTGTTTGTAGGGAGTTTTTTAAATTACAGACTGTATTTCACCTCTAGTGATTGGTTTTTCAAATTATCTGTTTCTTCTTGATTCAATTTTGGTGGGTTCTATGTTTCTAGAAACTTGTCCATTTCTTCTAGGTTGTCGATTTGTTGGCATATAGTTGTTCATAGTATTCCCTTATGGTTTTTTGTATTTGTGCAGTATCAGTTGTCATGTCTCCTTTTTCATTTCTTATTTTGTTTATTTGGGTTCTCTCTCTCTTCTTCTTGGTGAGTCTTGCCAGAGGCTTGTCAATCT